CTCCCTCCATCTGCTGGAACACCTTGGAGCTCTAGCAGAAAACAAGTAAGGACCATTTCCATCGTTGGACAAGATTTGGCTGTTTTAATGGACCTGGTATCAGACGATGGAGGTTGCTGCTGTTGTTGTTTTTGTTTGAGTGTCGAGAAATGTAAAGGCAGGAGCTTACCATTAGAGAAAAGCTCATCGGCTGGAAGCATCGTGGCAGGATCTTCGAGCCTGAACTCAAACTCACCAACTGCTGCAGTATCTTGGATATCTGGTTCAACAAGCACTGTAGGCTTAGACCGACCAGTCTGGGTCTAGTCTTCGACGGCTCATCTTCTCGGCTCAAAGACACCCTACGACTCAACCAACCGTATCGTTGGAAACTGTCAGACGAGACACCCATGTTGTTAACACAAGCTGAAGCCATGTTGGTTCATAAGATTTGAGATCTAAAGCAAAGGGTATTTTTTCACTGGTTTGCTTTACTTTTCGGTTTGTTCTTAGGCTTGGGTTTGGTTCGGCTTTGTTTAGGGTTTGTGAGTAGTGAAAAAACTGTTAAATAAAAGAGGGGGAGAGAGAGCACATGAATTTTGGGGGGCGGGTGGAAGTGCATCATACTTACTATATAGGAGTAAAAAGTTGAAGCTTTACCTTCTGGAGGGTTGGCTCCAAATTATTATTTATTTTACCCTTTGTTTTGATTCTCTTTTGAATGCGTATGGGAAATGTTTAGAATTGGTTTTTTTTTTTGGTGAATGATGTTCCATTTTATTGATTCTTAGTTGTTATGTTGGGAAGTTGAAACTTACAATTATCATTATGCTTTTCTTTTCTTTTAATATACTTTTAAGATTGCAGTGAAATTTTAACATAGTTATTATTGAAGGTTATGAGTTCTAATACAAGGAAAGCAAAGGTTATTATAATTATTATATATAGGTTAAACTTGGAAGCTGCGGCCAAGCCACTGAGAATTGCACCTTCAACGTTAGGACTAAACACAGAAATCTCCACAGATTGCCAGTTTCTTCTTCTCACACACGCATTTTTCCACCTCGGCTATGCTGGCTGCTGGGAAGGCACTCCCCTGAGTACGCCGATATTCGATATCAATGTAATTATGAAAAAGTGATTTTCGTGTTATTCAGTTAAACTCACTCACCATCTATGAGCTTTCATGAAATGGCTGTGGAATATGAGCCTGCCGAGAAATTCTTGGAGCATCTCGTTGCTCACTTTTGAGAGAGTTTCTTTCGAAGGTTTCACAAGGCCGAATTGAGAAATCACATCCTCGGCATACTCCGTTGTTGAATGCAATACCCATCGTTCATGCACATTGGAGAAGCGAGTAACATAAGAATATGCCAAAAACTAATAATAAACGAAACTTTAATTGCTCGACTCAGAGAATGAGTCGGGATGCAAAATACAAAAACTGTGCCTTGTGGAAGAGCGCCCTGGCTTATCGCTTTCACAGAGAGCCCTGCTTAAAACCTTAGAGTTGGTGAACGACAACTCCTTGTGGAAGAGCGCCCTGGCTTAGGTACCTGAATCGATAATCTTCAAAACGATGTCAACACCACATTGGTTAATTGAAAATACATACATACATATATATACACACACACACATTTTCAAGCGCATTGGTTAATTTTGCAGATAAGCTGATATCTCACCGAAGACAAAGGATCATTGAAAGCTAGCATCAAAGAAAAACAAGGATGAACAGGAATATTCTGCAGTTTCGCCAACTCCGGAGCCAAACTCAAATCTGTATGGAATACAACAGATGAAGGCGAGGACAATAACTTGAGGATTAAATAACATGCACAGTTGGATTTGTAAGAAGGGGTTGCAAAACATGTAGGCGAAAATTATCATACCAAGCGGGGGTGATTGTCCTGTTACCGCTGTAAACCTTGGCGAAGCAATATTTTTGTCTGATGCAACCACTCCCTTAAAACGACCAAGATGCTGTCCATCCAAACCCATCACCGACCATAAATTTTCGTGGTCTAACCATTCAAACTTCCCGATACCCACATTAAACTTACTCTCTACTCCTGAAGAACAGATAAAGTGGGAGCATGGAAATTTAGGAGTAAATCCAACCTCAATAAGGAGCTTAAAAACAAATCAGTCTTGCTACACACCAGTCTCGTGGCATAATGTTTTGCAAATGGAATTCATTCCGGGCATGCCAACATATTTCTTGGTTTCTTTCTCCTAACAATTAATCAGTTCAGGAAAACTTATTTGACAAGAAAGCTTAATGTTGCTCACAACCTCTTTCACGGACAAAGCATGATAAATGTTAAGGAACGCTGGATGCAAAACAAGGGTTACACTTTCTTGAAAGAATAATACAATCATAACGGCCAAAGGTGATGAAGGGTTACATGAAAGAAGCCTACGATCAACCCAGAGGTAAACACAAGCGTATCGAGTTGAACAGTACAATAAATTAGAAAGAACAATATAGCAGGTAAGCACTTAAGAAGCAAAGATAGCAAAGATCATTAGCATTTAACAATACCATATACAGCTTCAGAATAAGAACAATGTTGTGAGCTCTCAAGAGAAAGAGGAAAAAACACTATCCGAAAACATCATTGATCACTGCTCTCTACTCTAAGCAAATCGATATATAATTAAAGATAAATCATGCAAATAAACAGATACCGGTATCAGCTTGAGGGTTCAGTGTTGACAAATTTGTTGGTTGAACAATCAAAAGACCCAAAATTTGATTTCCATTCAGCAACAAGGCCTCTTGATTCCCACTCAGCAACAACACTCAACACATCGGGATTTGTCACTGTGAAATAAGGAGCACCGTGATCGAACAGCAGCTCTTTCCCATCTTCACTAATCTCTCTAAATTGACAATGGTTCCCAACATTACATACTACCCCAATTGTTGTAAACAAAAATTAATTTAACTATCCACTTCAAAGTTCTCTTTCTTTTCCCCCCCAAAACAACAGCACCAATAATAGAATAATAATAAGAAATGGAGAGAAACAAGAAAAGGAACCTTCTTTGAGACATGCGGCCACCGGGGCCTCTAGCAGAGTCAAAAAGGGTGACTGAAATTCCATTCCTTGCCAATGTAGCAGCACAAACAGCGCCTGAAACTGCCAATTTGAAGTTTTCATTGTTAACAAAATACAGATAAAAAAATGAAATTTGAATAATATAGAGATGAAAGGAGTGGAGTTTTCAAAAAAAAAAAAAATTGGGGGGCAGGGGGAGAAAGAGTAAGTGGGATATTGAAGATAGTGATGATACTTCCGCTTCCCGCCACGGCAACCTTGGCGACAGTGTTTTGCATTTTGTCCCACTCGGTGTCGGATACGAACAGTGATGCTAACGAATTGGGGTGGTCTGAGAGTGGATTGCGCCTCCTATTTCTTTGAGTAGTGATCGGAGGGCTGGGTCTGGGCTTTACTCCTCCCTTCTCTTTTACGTGTGGCTGGGCTTTACTCATCACTTCCCTTTAACCTGTGGCTATGGCGTTGCCACGAGAAAAGCTGCACCTTATCTTAATTGCATCTCCTTTTGGTCAAACTATGCCATTGTTGGTTGCGCATTTATCATATTTTAAATGTAATCACTGTACTATAATGGTAAACATTAAATATCAATATTAATGAGATTGATTTAAATGATAATTAGTTTAATATTAATTAATTAATATCTTAAGTTTAAATCATTATATATCTAGATAATCTCTTATGTGAGATTCATCTATTAAAGTTAAATGTGTAATTAAGATCGACCTAAATTAATCAATATTAAGTTTTTGAGTTGGAGGGAAAAAAACATTAAATAGTGTTATTACCAATATTATAATTATATTTATTTATTCGATAAGAAACGACGTATCTTACAAAAAGCTCCCTTTCCTACATTACAATTTTTATCATTCCATGGGCAAACACATGCGATAAAATAACCTCTCAATTCCGATTCAGAAGGTCTGTAAATTGGGGCAGATTGTTGAGTTTTCTTGGAAGATCCATCGTCACCTCCTCTTATCTGAGTCTGTCTTCCATAATCACATCAATATTGGGGGTGGAATACGAACATTGCAACTTGTTTTTCATAAACCTCCACTCCTTCCTGCCGAATCTCATAACCTTACTCTTTCAACCATCGACTGGTTGTTTGGCACCGCTACATGAAACCATGGGGAAAATCGTTTACCAGCACCCAAAAACATCTACTCATAGCAGCCAAACAGATGGTTAAAGGGATGAAGAATCAACATATGTTGCAATGTCCGTTCAAATATCTGGGTCCACATGTATCCGATCCATATCCTACTTTATCATAAACCCCGCAGAGGATTCTCTCTTCCGCATATCTGAAATACATATCCAAAGGGTATAAACTAAACAATCTTATTGGTTAACAGAGATAATTATCATCTTTAGTTGTCTTAGATTTGAATACAACATCTATAAAAATATCTAAACATTATTTATTAAATAATTAATGTTTTTTAAAATAAATACCATAGCTTCACATGAATCATTGAAAATTCAATATACTTACCGTCAAAAATGATCCCACAAAATAATGAGCATACCTCGAAATAGTCGACGCCCATTCATCATCCGCTATAGTAAAAAAAATCATCCTAAAACATGCCACAAAGGGTGGAGATCCCAACATTTTTGTTTAAATATAATTTTTGTGTTTCAAGAACAAAAAATAAATAATGGATGAAGATTTCATGATTTTATTTATGGAGTTCAAATAATATATCGCTAATGAATTACAAGATAAACTTTTTATATGACTAATAATAATTTTATAAAAGTACCATAGTCATTTTATTAGAATCTCCTGAAAACTTAAATTAAAAACATAAATTTAAGAGAAAAATTAAAACACATATATATATATAATTAAAAACAACTGAAATATTATTACATTAACCACGATATCGTCTCTTAAAGAGATTTCACATATTAATGATAACGTTCTTATTATTAGCAATGAAATATAGAATTCAAAGCTTAGCATAAGTAGGTTTCCTTTTGTGCGTGTAAGCAGAGATGGCCTGGTTTAGATCATCGGACAGAAGCATGGAAGAGTTCCAAGTTGCTACGTAATCCAACCCTTGTTCCACACTCACATCCCTGCTTCTTATCAACACCGCTTTTGTTCCCACCACCGCAAGCGGCGGCTTCTCTCCGATTCCTGCCGTCCGATTTCAAACAAACCCGTTTCGTCATTTATGCTAAATCATCTGCAGAGGATGTTTAGATAGGGTATAATAAGGAAACCACAAGGTTAATTATCTTACCTTCTGCGATGGTGCGAACGCCTTCCTTCAGCTCCACCTTTGACCCGAAAACCCGAGAAACCAGACCCAATTCCTTGGCCTCCTCACCCGAGAACCTCCTGGCCGTCAACGACAGCTCCATAGCGTTCCCAAACCCTACTATCCCAGGCAACCTCTGGAGGGTACCGACATCAGCTGTGATGCCCATATCCACTTCCTTGACAGAAAAGAACGCATCTTTACTACAGTACCTTATGTCACAGGCCGTCACTATGTCGACCCCCAGGCCACGACATTCTCCCTGTATCGCCGCGATTACCGGCTTCCGACACCGCTCGATGGCGGTGATCGCGTCTTGCATGAACTTGAGTTGTCTTCGTAACCTAGGGATGGCAACTCAACCCGAATCCGACGGGTTCCGATCCGACCCGACCCGATCGGCTCGGATTTTTTTAAAAAAAAATCGAGTTCGGGTCGGATCGGGGTTTTTTTTAAATGTACTGTTCGGGTCGGGTCGGGTCGGGTTTAGGGTGAAAAAAATCCGACCCGACCCGAAAAATATATATAATTTTATCCTATATATTTAGGGATAATTACAATAATGTCCCTCCATATATAATTTTTTTCAATTAAGTCACTGTTTTCATTGAATAAAATTTTTTTTAATTATTATTTCGGGTCGGGTCGGGTCGGGTCGGGTTTCTAAGTCATATAATCGGGTCGGGTCGGTGAAACCTTAATTTCGTCGGGTCGGGTCGGGTCACGGGTGAAAAAACCCTTTCTTCTCGGGTCGGGTCGGGTGGCCCAAAAACCCGACCCGACCCGACCCATTGCCATCGTGCGCCCGTGATCTCCGGAGCTATTGTTGGCGATAGCTGCAACGCTTTTAAGATCGAGGCCTCCACAGAAGTGATTCCCGGCCCCGGACAGAACGATAACGACGACATCAGGGTTCTGGTCGAGAGCATCAAGAGCTTTGGGGAATTCGCTAAAGAAGTCGAGTGAAAGTGCATTACTGACAGATGGTCGGTTTAAGATCAAGTTGAAGACTCCAGAAGTTGATGATTCTCGAAGAATCTTCACAGTTCCATACTTTTCTCCCATACCTATTCTTATATTCTCAAGGAAAAAGTGAGATGGTATTGAAACCAGCTTTTTTCTCACTCTAACTTCAACTTCTTCATCCCAATTTATAAATACATACTTTGTTACGACTGGTTGGATGGATGGTTGACTTTCAAACCTAATTTGTTTAGCAGCCAAAGACTTTCGGAGATATAATTGAAGGATCAGTCTGCAAGTGGGTAAATAATTCGTAGGACAATATATTTTTTTGGTCTCTAAAAAATAAATTATTACAAGTTACTCTCTAACAACTTGACAAATATATACCTAAAGCCTTTGTTGTTTTTCAAATATACATATAAGACTTAATTTTAATTTGAGGTTTAATATAAAAGTAAATGTTTAAATAATTCTGATTTTTTTATTTAAGAGTCTAAATTATTTTTCGGTCAATTCAATTGTCTAACGTTATAAATGTTATCATTTTAAGTGTCCCGATTGTAACGGGCGTTAAAAATTTTTACTACTAAGGGACATGTATGGTATTATGATAATTTTAAAGATTTTATTTAAAAAAATTAAAAATATAATTATCATATTAAAAAGTATTTAAAATAAAATATTCAAAATTATTAAAATTATTAAAAAAAAATTACTACTAAGGGACATATATGGTACTTAAAATGATAACGTTTGTAATGCTAGACACTTAAATTGACCAAAAAAATAGTTTATGGACCTAAAAGGGAAAAACGATATAGTTTGGATAATTATTTTTATATTAAGCTTTATTTTAATTAGACATATTTTAGAAAAACAAACATAGTAATTTATTTTTATATTTGATTAATATAATTATTAGTTTACATAATACGTAGAAGTCAACCGAAGTTGCATTGATAATAGTATTAACGGTTTATAAAAATTGAGTTAAATTAAACTTTTGTATATCAAATTGCACACATCTCCAAAATTTATGTAAATTTTTGAGATTATCTCTTTTATTAATCATGTATATGTTTAAACTTCAAAAGTTTCCGTCTAACTACCTAAGTAGAAACTAATCTTATTGCGTTTGATAATAAAATTCTCTCATCAACTAATTAACGATATTATATTTTTTCATAATTATTCTTAAAATAAAAAATTAAATTATAAAATATGTATTTTTTAAAAAATTAAAAACCCAATAATTAATTTTTTTTGAATAATCTGGGATAAATACATGTAAGTATTTGTTCGAAGATAACTCTCAACCTTTCAACATTAAAGGCTCACACCCCTAATATCTATGGTTCTCAAACTAGGGCCCTCGAGAATAACAACAATTCCTTTACCACAAAGGTCACTTGATTCGTGTCAATAACTAATCTTTGGTAATATAATAATAAACCCAAATAGTTAAAGAAGAAATCAAATACATTGTTCGTGAAAATTCTACAATGAACGTCATACACTGGAATGTACCATTAATTTTATAAGCTGGCATTTTTTAAATAATCATTAAACTATACTAATATAATCCTTTTGAACATTGAACTTTTAAAAGTTACATAATATCTCATTCAACCCCTCAATTGAATTATGAAATGAATATCACATTTTTAATTATCATCAAAGTGATAATGTAACATGTTAAGTTAGTAAAAAGAATCTTATTCGAACCCTCAATTGTAAACTAAATTTCATTTTGATATTTTTTAATATTTCAAAGTATTAATTCTAAAAAATCAATTATATATATTCACAATTCATTTTTAAAATTATAAAAATATTTTTTAAAATTTATTACTTTATAATTAATTTTTCAATTCATAAAATTATAATTATTTCTTTACAATATGAATTTATTAATTCACAAATTTTTTTATAATTACGTTTTTTATTTAATTATGATTATATTTGAAAATTTATAATTTATAATTTTTGAGATCAAACGATTTGAATTATAAAAGTGAAATCATTTTTTATTAAACAATGTCATTCAATTCTTTAACTTTTGTTTAATAGTTTTAAATATAATTTTAGAAATATATTTGTAATTTTAAAAATAAATTTGAAAATTCCATATATTTAAAAAATTATTTTTCTAAATTTTTTGAAATTATTACTTCCAATTATTGAAAAATATCAAAACCAAAATTTTAGTCACAATTGATAGAGAAAATGAGATATATTTTTATTTATTTAATATTTCACGTTGTCAATACTTCTTTTTAACGAAATCCAAAATTTAATATCTATTTTATAATTTTTTAAAAGTTGAATGACAAAAAAAAATCATTTTATCATAATTTAATGACTATTTATAAATTTATACCGGTACATATCAATATGTGGATTGCGGTGTAGACTCGTCTTATGGTTTATAATCTATCTTCCTTAGCAACGTAAACTTGCATCCACCATCAAAAGTCTAAATTCTCGTGTCTTAAGATTGTCTATATTATCTGATTTAATATTCAAAGTGCAACTTCATTCAATTCCACAGTTACGCTAAACTTGTACAGATTCTTTTTTCTTCTTACCATTCAACGTAAGGCACACAATTCTTTCGTGGACTTTGTTTCTCGATTACTATTGGTGGCACGTGAGGATGGTTCTCAAGACTTTTGAGGGTGGAAATGGAAATGGAAAGTTGAAAAATCAATTGCCCATTTCACAAACCAATCCATTCGGATTCTTTATTATTATTTTTACTGTATTCTTTCTCAAGTCTTTTACGTCTATCATGGCATGCATGAGCGTAGAATTTAACCCAAACAGTCGATCCAGCGAGTTTCGAAATGAAAAAGGTACTTAGGGTAGGTTTGTTTCATGTTTTTCCGGAAATTTATTATTCTGATGTTTGATTAGAGGAAAATTGATTAGTCAATGTAAAATATTTTTCTGATTAACATAATTTCTTTTGTGTTTTCTGAAAAATAACTTACGGTGTAATTTTCTGAAAATTATTTTCTAAGTTTTTTACTTCAAATAATAAATACCAAAATAATTTTATTTTATGAATTTAATATTAATAAAATATTTTAATATTATTTTATTAATTATTAAAATATTTAAAATATATTTAAAGTTAGTTATGTAAAATTATGTTATGTAAAATTACATTAATCATTATATATTTTACTGTAGTTTGTGTGATAATCAAACTATGTAAACTATTACAATTTAAAATTAGAGAGACATAGAATTTTTACGTTAGGAGTGGAACTCATAAAATTTTAAAATACATAGATTTAAAATTACGAACACCGTAGTCAGTTCTTCATCCATCCATCTATCCATCCATCCATCCATCCATCCATACTCGAAAGTAGACTAGAATTATTACATAAACTTGAAATGGGCTTGAAGTTGGCCTTGTATCCTATCCATTATCCATGCCTACCCATTCTTATTAACACTAAATTATACCAACAGTACGGGAAACAAACATTATCAAGTTCAAAGTTTGGCATAGGTGGGTTTCCTTTTATGTTTTTGAGCAAGGATTGCTTGGGTTAGATCATCAGACAGAAGCATGGACGAGCTCCAGGTTGCAACATACTCTAACCCTTGCTCCACACTCAGATCCCTGTTTTTTATCAACACCGATTTCGTTCCCACCACCGCGAGCGGCGGCTTCCCGCCAATTCCTGTCATCGGATTGCAACCAATTGATTTCACCATTTATGCTAAATCATCTCGACATAAGATATGCAAGGAGATCACAAGCTTATCTTACCATCTGTAATGGTGCGAACACCTTCCTTCAGCTCCTCCCTTGACCTGAAGACCTGAGAAACCAGACCCAATTCCTTGGCCTCCTCACCCGAGAACCTCCTGGCCGTCAACCACATCTCCATGGTGTTCCCAAACCCTACTATCCCAGGTAACCTCTGGAGGGTACCAAGATCAGCGGTGATGCTCATATCCACTTCCTTGACAGAAAAGAATGCATCCTTACTACAATACCTTATGTCACACGCCGTTACAATATTGATCCCTAAGCCGAGACGCGCGCCGTGAATCGTAGCGATTACTAGCTTCCGGAAACGCTCGATTGCGGTGATCGCATCTTGCATGAACTTGATATGTCACCGTATCAGCTCCCCGATGCGGCCGTGATCTCCCGAGTTATCGTTGGCAGTCGCAGCCAGGCTATTAAGGTGCAAAAGTGATTGCCGGATCCGGATAGAACAACGACAGCGACGGCAGGGTTTTGATCGAGTACATTGAGGGCTTTGGGTAATTCATTGAAGAAATCGATTGAAAGTGCATTACGGACAGATGGGCGGTTTATGATTAAGTTAAAAGCTCCAGAATTTGGGGATTTTTTTGAAGAATTTTCAGAGTTTCATACTTCTCTTCCAAACTTTTTTCTCCAGAGAAAATGTGGCGAAAAAAATTGATAAAAGCTATGCCTCAATCTTCACAATAATCGACAGCTGCTGAAATCAAGATCAGTCCAGAAAAAGAAATAATTTAAGATCACAATTTCTCAGTAAAAACCAAGCAAATGACACAAAGACGGCAACAGATAATATAGCAAAATACAAAAACTATGCCTCAATCTTCATGATAATCTACAGCTTCTGAAATCAACAACAGTCCAGGAAAAGAATTTACGCTTTGAGATCACAATTTCTCTATCAAAACCAAGCAAAGGACACAAAGAAGGCAACGGATAATATAGCAAAATTAAAAGACCTAAATTCCAACAAAGCAAAAACTACCAACAATAAGTCTTTGCTTTCATCCCTGAAGAAAAATAACACTAACCCAGCAAATAATTATAAGTAAAATAACAAACCAGAGAAGGGGAGAGTTTGGGATTGTACCTGTTGGGACTTGGGAAAGAGAAGCGACTTACGGCAATGAAAATGGAAGAAAACAAAACACAGTAAACACTCCCTAAGAATTATAGATCGTACACAGTATTAAATGAAAATTTGCTTTTTTCTTATTGCGCTTTAACTAATTTTTTTGTTTTTTTCTTTCCCCATTTACCTTTTCTTTAATATTTGTTCTACCATTTTCACTTATATAGGATTTCTGGATATTAACACTTAAGTATTGAATAAATAGATAAACTATATTTAATTCACGGAACGTAGAATTATTCATAAAAATAAAATTATTGAAATATTAAATTATTTAATATATTACTGAGAAATATTGTATCATCTTGTTCGATTTGTTTGATAAGAATGTAAGATTATAATATTTGATTGAAGAATATATATATCTATATTCAATAGAATATATACCAAGATAATATATATTTATTTTTTATTTCTTTAGAAATACAGAAACATATTCACATCTGTATAAGTATGTGTTAATTGCTAAGATATTGAGTATATTTACACCTATGTAAGTATGTGTTGATTTCTAAGATATTAAGAGATGTACATACTTACACTGATCTAAGTGTGTGTTGATTCCTAATATATTGAGAGATGTACATTTTTACACTGATATAAGTGTGTGTTAATTTTAAGATATTGAGAGATGCACATACTTACACTACTGTAAGTATTTGTTAATTGTTAAGATATTAAGATATGCACATACTTACACTGGTGTAAGTATTTGTTAATTGTTAAGATATTGAGAGATGTACATATTTATATCGGCGTAAGTATGTGTTAATTAAGATATTTTTTTTATTTAGTTCATGCTATATGTATGAGTTGTACAATGAAATATTATATCAAATTATTTGACAAGATTAATAGAAAAATAAAAAAAATTATAATATAGAAAGCTTTTTATGAAAATTAATTCTAAAAAATTAAACGTAACAAAATACATATAAAAATAAAAATTGAATCAAGAACATACATAATAAATACTCAAAATAAAATAGAAATTTAATATTTTTTTACTTTTTATTATATGTATCATATTATTTTATATTAAGTTATATCAATATATGTATGCACAAAGGAAGGATCATTTTTGAAATAATTATATTTTTCAAATATTTTTTTGTCTTAAATGGAGAGAATTGACAAATACATAAGAAAACAAGAGAAATGATATTTTTTAAAAACGCCTAAAATTACTATTGTAGGTAATGTTTTAATACCTCCATGAGAGAATAATCTTAAACTAAACATAGATACGTAATTTTAAAAAATATTATTTTCTTGATAATAATCTTTTTCACGAACCAAATATCCCTAATAATAATCAAAGAGAAAATAATAGTAATCAAATATTTTCGGCGACAGTAAGTAGAAAAGGTAAAATACTTGCACTAATTCTCCTGCAAAAGTTAAAGGGAGTTGTGTCCCACAATTTCATTCACCATGAATCATACAACGTTTGGATGATTCTACGGTACTACAGCTTCATATAAGTCAACATAACATTTTAAGTTACGTGTAATTTAAAATGTTACTAAGAATATTTGTACCTTGAAAAAAAGTAAGATTTTCGGCTGTAAACCAGCTAAATTAAGTTCGAGTATTGTTGAGTTCGACTCGACTCGAAAAATTCTAAAATAGAGTCCAACTCAACTTGAAAACTCACGAGTCTAAAATTTTTAAGCTTGACTCGAACTCGAAATCATGAACTGAAGTTCGAAAAGGCTCGAAATGAAAAGAAAATCTTAAAATTAATTCGACCGAAGCTTCAAACTTGAACATGAACATGAACCTTAAATACATGAAAATCTTATATTGTATTTTATAAAAAAAATCAACACATAAATATTAATATTATGAATAATTTATTTTAAAAAAAATCTTAATATATTATATTTTCGAGTTGCCCACGAGCTTTTCGAGTCGAGTATCAAGTAACTCGTTTTAGCTCGTTAAGAACTCGAGTCCATTCGAGTCGAGTATTTATCGAGTTTTGACCGAATCGATCCCAAGTAACTCGTGATCTATCTATCTCATTTACAGCCCTATACCCACCGTCCAATCTATAAGTATCATTATTTTTTTCTGTTCTATACGGGATTAATTTTTTCAAGGATGATATTACTATCAAATATTGTAAGAAATAAAATTATTTATTTTAATCATATAAAAACTTATTAAATATTTAAACTTAAAAAGTAAAAAGAACCAAAATTTAAATTACTGTTAGAATTAAAATTTAAATTAGTATTAGATCAAAAAGTGCTCGAGCTTAGAAAGAATCTCGGAATTCAGATTGAAGGTGATGAGCAGGAGGTAGTTAGAGAGATTGCCATGTTACAAGATAATTAGCCGAATAAGCGAGGGTGGGGATGGTACAGAGAAACATCTGAAAGAAGCATGCGCGTGTTAACATGGAACGTGAGGGGGATGGGGTTCAATATAAAGTTCTCGGCAGTGCGAAGATTAGTATGTACTCTCATCGAGTTAAGGTGGTTTTCTTACAAGAAACCAAAAAGGCTTCCATGAACGAAGATGAAGTAAGAAAAATCTGGTATGATGATGAATTTGGCTTCAAAGTTTCTGCAACTGACGAACGCTAGGGTGGTTTAGCTAAAGATTTGGGACAGGAACAAATTCAATGACGAAAGCGCAATTATCCCAACTGGACGTGTACTAATCACGGGCAAATGGCTGGCTCAAGGTATTGATATTACTTTAGTCAATATATATGCACCATGTGACCATAATGATTTTATCTCAAGAAGCGATCTTATAGATATGCTGATGGTGGGAAAAAGTTTTCGTGGTTTGGATCTCAAAACAAGAAAAGCAGATTAGATAGGCTTTTGTTTGATGAACTTTGGGTGTCGACGCATAAGAATTTGATTCAAACAGGGCTTAATCACTCAATCTCAAACCATGCTTCTGGCTTGTGGACTGGGGACCAAAACCATTCAAATTCATCAATGCCTGGCTTCAGAAAGAGGACTGCAGGAAGATCTTTTAGGCCAGGGGAATGGGAATAAATCTCATCTGTCGATAAAATTGAGAAGATTGAAAGGTGCAATGTGAAGATTTTAATAAAAAAGCTCGACCGCTGGAAAAAAGAATCAATGAAATATTTTGTTTTCGGTTAAACATCAATAATCAGAAAAAGAACAGAGAATACAGCCTATTCATTATCTGCACAAATTATCCTGCAAAAAAAAGTGAGCTGTGTATGACAATTTCATTCACCATAAATGATACCCACCCTCCAGTCCATAAGCAGCATTAATTTTTTCCCTCTTATATGGGATTAATTTGTTCAAGGATGAGATTAATATCAAATTTTGTAAGAAATAAAACTATTTATTTTAATAATATAAGCAATTATTAAATATTTAAATTTAAAAAGTAAAAAAAAATTAAAATTTACATTATATAATATTTAAATTTATAAAATTTTAAATTACTAATAGATCAATAAGTTAAGTGTTACGAGTCATCTCTCACTCCCTTTACTTACTTTTTGATATGTATTCTGTGGGTTCTTTCTGATTCCATGAAGAAGAGGGACTATGATGAACAGTTAAGAAAGGATCCAGGACTAGGAGTATCTGTCAAAAGAAAAAAAATTACTTGGCATAAAGGAGACAATATGCAAATCTAGCTTTGAGGTTCTTATCTATTGGTTTGCTCTGTCTAGGAGTTTCTTATGTATCAAAAGCATTTCCTGGTGCATATCAGTTTTCTTAAGATCAAGATTGATCTTTTTTGTATTACAAGTCACTTTGTTGACAGCATTATTCCCTCCACAAACTGTTTTTTTCATTACAAATCTACAATTATTCAATCAAAACACAAGTTCATGTAGAGCTTTGTTGATGTCCATTTTGAATTCTCATATGGTCCAGATATGTTTTTCCATATAGCTTGCGGGTTAAGAAATCATTGAAGTATTGCTCCATTCCCACCGTTCTGAATAACGGAGGGTTATCTTCATTTAAGAGACTCGGTGATGGTCCGACGTCTGCCTCGGAATTGGGAAGCTCGGTGAAGGTAACCGTCATTCTCTCTGTCTCTCTGAAGGCCGAAACCCTGTGCTCAATGCTGTGATATACCCCGTTGCTAAATATCTGCATTAACATTAACAACTACAATTGTCAACACAGACAAACACATACATATTCGTATAGGGGTAAAATTAACCTGAAAAATGTCTCCGACATTGACCACAAAGGCATCTGGGATGAAGTTGAAAGGCAGCCAATGGCCATCTTTCTTAACTTGAAGGCCATCCACTCCATTAACTTGGTGTAGGATTGTGAGAAGAGTAATAGCAGAGTGAGGAGTAAGGGCCATCACCAGCTCCGGTTGTGGACACGGAGGATAATTCGACATCCTCACCGCCTGCAACCCATCATCGAACAACTCCTTCATCTCCTTTTCATCGATTTTCAATGCTTTCCCCATCAAACATATTAGTTTCCTGGCAAGCTTCTGGAGTTCCGACAAGTAACACTCCATCGCACTCCTGCGCAATTCGATATCTATTTCATCGAACATTAAAGATCGAAAAAAGCACACACACCAAGAGATCAAAGACTAGCACCTTAAAGATGGAGGGAGTTGTGAGAAGAGATGAGGCTTGCGTTTAAGGACAGGGTTAGTGACTATATTGAAAGTGTCGATCCAATCGAACTTGCCATCTCCTCTGCTCCTGGTTCCATACCCTTCCAACTCACCTTCCCTTATCCTGTATCTCAGCTTCTCTTCCAAAGGAAGCCTGTAAAATTCCTCAACCTCATGATTCAGTTTCTCCAGCAGCGTTGTGCTGACCCCATGGTTCACCAGCTGCATAAATCCATTAATTCTTCTCAAACATTCATAACAACGAAGATTCCGAAACCGTAAAAAAAAACGATTGAATTCGAATTATTCTGTAAAATGGAGAACCTGGAAGATACCCCAATCTTGGCAGGTAGAGTGCAGTTTGTGGAGCTCAAGGTTATGGCAGTGGTCATCTTGGGAAAGCAAACGAGACATGTCAATGGTAGGGGTTGGAGATGTGGTGACAGAAGGGAGGAGGTGGTTCTTGATTTAAACGTATGAATTGTTGAGGGATTGGGATTGATGGCCCTCCTTTTACAAGCTCCTGGACATAGATTTTTGAAGGGTCTAAGGTGCTTAAACCATCTTTTGTGTATGATGATCCCATGTTGCTACAGCTGAAGAACTACTGCCCCTTCAATCACCATACGGCCTATATAATTAGAGGTATTTATAGGAGGAAAACAAGTACAAAATACACTTAGAGACCACTCAACTATATTATAATGATCTTTTTGTGGTCATTGTAAGATTGGATGTTACAAAAATAGCTACTAAACTAATCAAACTGTTACTAAATGATCCATGTGATGTCATAATAGTAATAAATTTAATAATTATTTTATAATAATTTTATAAGTTTAGTGATTATTTTATAATAGTTCAATAAACAGAATGATTATTTTGTAATATTTTAAAGTTCAAGGACCAAAAAGATCATTTTCATATAATTCAATGACTTTTGGTGCACTATACCCAAAAACAAAGGTTTGCTGAGAGATGATTTATGCTTTATTGTTTTTTTAATAGACTTTATTGTTGTTTTTATATTGATTAAAACCCAAAAAGTGAAATTAGTTGGACAATTATATTATGTTATTTGTAATCAATATTGCATTATAATATTTTGATTAAAATTGAGCCGTTTTCTTTCTCCTCCTCTCTCTTCCTTTCTTTTTTCCCCTTTTTTATAATTTATATTCATTTTATTCATCAATTCAATTTTTTCTTTTTTAATTTATTTAACCGACAACGACATTGGTTTTGATGCTGATTGCCGTCCGTCGGTTATATTTATTTTTGATTTTTTTAGTTTTTTAATAAGAATAATTATGTCTTTGTGACATATTCTCTACCTTTATGACACGCTTATCTTTACATTTGTGGTACGTTTACTTTACCTTTTGATAGCTTATGATTTTTTACCGTTTTCTTGTTTATATTTTTTCACATGGTTAGATTTGACATCTCCACGACTGATCAAGATGACGCTTATTTGTTATCCTGCTGATCTTCCCTGCTTTAGACTCTCTGATTGATTTGAATATGCGTTTTGTGCTCGTTGATAGTTTTCTCACTTTGTTTGACTCTGATTTGTGATTTTTCGGTGTTCTTTCAGTAGTTTCATTTCATTTTTAGTTTGTTTGCTGATGCAGTCAGACTTGTTCGTATCTTTATTTGTTTCGACCATTGGTTAGGTTTTGTAACTTTTTTCCTTTTATGGTCCTTATGTGATATATGTGGCTAGTTTTTTTGCTAATGACTATAATAAAATATCCTAATTATAATTTAATTTACGTTTACGATTATGTTCATAAATCTTCATTGTAGTTTTAAATATTTTCTATTTTTAATAAAACTATATGCTTTCTATAAAAAATATTTTGATTAATTTTTTTAAAGAAATTGTTTTAATTTATAATTTAAATTGATTACAAAAATGTTCTGATTTTTTGCGCTTAAATGTAATTTCAATCATTTATTTACCAATCTCTTTTTTTTTCTTGCATATTGTTTAGATGTTTATTTATGTTATTTTTTCTGGACCACATAATATTGTAATGTATATCATCTGACATAGTTTTAATAACTATAAAAAAAACAAAATAATGAGGGCATGGTCAACTGTCAACTTTGAAAATTATATTCCTATACTATTCGAAACTCTATTTTTATTAACTTCAAAAGAAAAAAACATAATTTTTATTAATCCCTAAAAATAATATTAAATTTGAAAGTTTAAAATGATAATATATATATATATATATATATATATATATATATATATATATATATATATATATTTGATATATTTGATGTTTAAAATTTAAATAGGTATTTATTTATTTTAAAATTATATATATGTAACGGTGGACACATAATTTTATATTAAAGGTAAATTTGAACTTATAAAATTTTAAGGGACGAAAATAAATTTTTAATAAAAAAACCTAAATAAAATTTAAAATATATGATAATTTTAAATTTTTAAGGAAGTTCATCCTATATATATATAAATAATCACTCACGTCAAAGAAAATCAATAAATTCTTATTAGAAAAAATAACCTCAGTGACCAAAAATGCCTTAGAATATACGATTTTAACCAATTTTTTTGGATTTGCCAAAATGACCAACTAAATCGCAATGCGATCGATAATTCGCAACGCGATCTCCGGTATCGCAAATCAGTTTTCAGATTCGCAACGCGATTCTGACTATCGCATTGTGATTTTTCAAATTCGCGTTGCGATTTTCTGACTATCGCAATGCGAATATGTAAATCGCAAACGCGATTCTGACTATCGCAACGAGATTCTGACTATCTCAACGCGATTCTGACTGTTGCAACGCGATTCTGACTGTCGCAACGCGATGCTGACTATCGCAATGCGATTTTCAAAGCGCCATTATTATCGCAACGCGTATTTTTTTTTCAAATTCCAAACACGAATATTAATATATCGGAACACTGAACCGTCCACAGTATATCCCGTAATAGCAACTCATAACCTAAAACCCTAAATCACAACTCAGTCCCTCCATCTCTCACTCTCTAAGGTGACATCCGTCCCCATCTCCGACGAAATCAGTCCCCATCTCCGGCGAAATCCGTCTATCTCCATCTCTCAGAGCCACCGCCACCCTCATAATCATTCACGGTCAGAAATGGAAAATCAACCAAATCAACCACCGAGGGTTAGTTTTTTTAATTATTTTTATTTTGAAATTTTTACATTATTATTAGGTTTTTCATATTGAAATTGATGATAAGTTTACTGGTAATTTCAATAATAGATTAACCATTTCATTTAGATTCTTTATTAAATTCATTCGATTGCTTCCAATATTGCTAAACTGTTTAGTCTTTAAACCCTGTGAATTTAGTATTTGTCTTTGTTTTGTCTTTTGGTTGAAGTAATGCAATCCATTCAAGTTTCAATTTTAGTATTTGAAACCGAGAATCGCAAAGCGAAATGAAAATCACAACGACAGCATCGCAATGCGATTTTAGTTTCGCGTTGCGATAGTCAAATTCGCGTTGCGATAGTTATTTTCGTGTTGCGATTTTCATTTTCGTGTTGCGATTTTAAGTTTCAGAAACTATTCTTCTTCTGCAAATTGAAACTTGAATGAATTGCATTACTTCAACAAAAAAAAGACAAATACTAAATTCACAGTGTTGCAAATTTAAGTTTGAAGAATAAACTACTACTCTTTATGTTTATTGTTCTTGGTATATCTTCACAGTGTTGTTTTTGGTATATCTAACTTGGTATGTTTATTGTTTTTGTAGAACTTTTATTCGGCTCAATTGACCTTAAGAAATAAATTAAGTCTGGCCAAAACAATTGCGTCGAAGCTTTCACCTGCACAAAGAAAAATATTTGAGGATACTTGCTTCGGGCTATGGCTGAAAGTACAACATCCGGGTGGAGATGCTATGTTGACCCATCTGTTTCTTCAAACCATGACTAGCGATCTACCAGAGACTATACAACGTCTTGATGAAGAGATATGGTTTGATTTTCCACCGGCGTATACGTGTTTTGGGCGGGAGGAGTTTTGCTTAATCACCGGTCTACGCTTCGGACACGATGATGTAGGTCGGTACACTAGACATATTACCCGCCTATCATGGTTATCCCGGGGTTTTTCCTGAGCTGTCAATGAAGAAGCCGAATTTACACGTGGAAGACTTAACGAGATTATTGAATAAGAAAAATGGTTTTACTCGGATGGATGACGTCGATGTTGTCCGAGTATGCCTTCTAATACTTTTGCATGCCGACTTTTTAGGTAGAGAGGCCAGACAACCTATTCCTAATGATCTAATTAAATTGGTAGAGGACCTAAATGCATGGAACCTGTTTCCGTGGGGTTCGTATCTATGGAAAGCTACATGGAATAAGTTGTCGTCTGCCTTTGATGATCGAAAAAGTTTGCGTGGCGATGGTTCCAAATACACTTTGTCAGGCTTTATTTGGGCCTTTAAGGTAAGAATTTTTATATAATGTTTCCAAAATTATAATTAATTATTATTTAACAATTACTAATATTTGTTATTTATATTGTTTGTAGATTTGGATATTTGAGGCATTTCCCGCCATACAACCATATGCATTAAAAACTTATAATGATATTCCTAGGGCTATTTCCTAGAAGAAGAAACGGACCTTGCAGCAATGGAAAGATTTACTACCGTATACGACAATAAATAATGTAAGTTAACACAAATACTACCATATGTTTATAAACAAGTTATTACTAGTACACGTTTAACTTTGTTTGATCTTTTATATTGTTAGGAGTCCAACACTCCATTACAGAGGCTGACACCCACAGAAGCTGAGCTTGCCACTGATTGGTGGCAAGCTAGTAAGCGTTTTTTTGATGGCACGGATGATGAGCAGCCTCCACTTCGAGAGCCATCACCTCACCCAGAGCCATCACCTGATCGACCCGACTATACACCTCCACAACGAGAGCCATCACCTATTCTGTCACATCATCGAGCCTCTTCTCCACCATCACCTCATGATAGGCGACCGACAAAGATGCCACGACGTTTATCTCCCTGTTCTCCACCTCCACGTGATGAGTTAGGGGAGTTACGTGATGAGGTAAATGCCTTGCGTGAGGAGGTCGGTACTTTACGCGATGACAATGGTACATGGCGTGTTGAGGTGTCTACTTTACGTGGTGAGGTAGCCGCTCTACGTGAGATGGTAGCATCGTTGTAGAATGAGGTTCATACTCTACGCAATGAGGTAAGTTTAATATTT